AGCTCCATAAAAATGTACTAATACATAATTTACCTTATTAGTAATTAAATACTCATTTATTTCAACTTTAATACAATTGGCAATATTAATTTCAAAATGGAGATAAGGGATCAATTTAAACGATAGTAAAATAAAAACAAGATTCTAGTTTTTATTAATAAAATATGCAGTAATTGCTAAATTTTCAAGCTGCTGAAGCGATGTCTAAATATCACAAGTCAAAGAGATTTTACTAGAGATTGGAACCGATTTAGTATATCGGATTTTTAACTGGGTTAATCGTTTCGAATTTTAAACCAGGTTAAAAAGTTTTTACTCCAATAAACCGAATATACTATAACCGGTTATATCCGATTAATCGGTTTTTACAACCGGTCTAATTCGATTAATTGGTTTATTATAACAGGATCTATCCGATCTACATATTTAATTAATCAGTTTATTACGAAAAGCACTGCACGCATGTATACAATTTCATTTACTATTTTTTTTGGATGCATCTGGCTAATAGTGCCAGGTATTGAACTTTATTGAATGATTTTACATAGAATATGCTGCATACATCAGTATATTAATGTACAAACTGAGACGGGATATACACCCAGAAATAGCCACCAAGATGGTGCCGGGTATCTCCGTCATCAGTTGAATTCGCGATGCGTAGCATCAGTCGGTGGTCTTCCACACTGCATAACACAGGCCGACTTTAATATGAAGATTTAAGTTACCCGAAGTGGCAGAATTCCACTTGACCTCCCAACCTTGCAGCGGGTGGGTGGGATCGGGTGTGAATATTGAACGTCTTTTGCAATCGCTGGCGTAGTGCTCTCCCTATGACTGCTTCTATTCCTTTTATCCTAACTCTTCATAATGCAATTATTAGTCATCTGCATCTCAAATAAACAGTTGATTACATTCTACTCGTCTGAATTCACATGCCAAATCTTACAGTATTAAGGTTAATTATGCCTGATTAGGAATATTAGTTGTTCCTGCCGGTTCTTGACCGTAACCTGGCTTGAACTGGATCACAGTATGATGCTGGCGTACCCTGCTTAGCTCTTTTCGATCTGTTGATTTACGTTAACTTAAATTATTCATATATTAAATTGATGCGAAAATACTCTACAATATATCAGGTTGGTGAAAAATAACTGGACAGTGCCCTTTTTTACTATTTCTGCTAATATTGAATTTTTAAAATTATTTATTATATCTACATTAAGAATTATAAATAGTATATCAGCGATTAAAAAAAGGTTGCTTTTCACCAACCTGGCATAATAAAAAACCTGGCTGATGTTACACATTACTATTACTAATTCTGCTGCAAACGAGCTGGTCTATTTAAGTTACACATTGAATTATATATTGATATATGTTTCATGTTTCATTAAAGTTTAATATCCAGGACGAAATACTAACTCTTTCCGACGATAACTTGTACCAAATTTTCTCTAAAAACAATCACTCTATTCTCTAAATTTTACTAAGTAAACCTACTTTGGCCGCCTAAGTAAAACTGTTCTACAGTAAATTTTACTTATAGGCGGCCCTACTTCAAACTTCTAAAGCTCTTTTTTACAAAATTACAACTCTTTTTCTAAATTTTACTTCTATCGACCAAAACTCAAAATTCTACTAAGTTAACATCAAATGCTCTATAATACAAAAAGATTCAGCTCATCAACAGCTTCATTTTGATATATAATATACTAGAAACGGACTAAAACTAACAAAACTATAATCAAAATACTTTCAAACTCCGTTACAAAAATTTTATCTAGCTTTTACAAAAATTTTTTTTTCTTTTTGGGGATTCCTGCCTCCCTAGGACGTCCAAGATCTGCAAATCCATATTACAAATCAATATTACTAATTAATTTACACAACCCCAATATCTGTTTCATCTATTTTTATACAAAATTTAATTTTACTATTTTAGTTTTAGTAAATTTACACAAACTTTACTTTATCGATACACAAGTTACACCGTTACACTTGGTTACACCAAGCCACACTAGCCACACCAGCCACACTTGCCATATATATTTAATACCTTTGGTTACACGAGGTTATACAAGATTACACATAAAGCCACACTAGCCGCTTTTTAAATAACCCCTGTTTTTTACACACTTTTAACCCCTAACTTATTTTATACCCCAAAAACAACTTTAAAATTTTAACCGCTATTTTAACTTTTATAAAAAACTTAGAAATTTTTTTTAACAAATACAAAACTTATAAAAATTAACTATCAAACATACTTATAACCTTCTTTAAAAAATGTCTCAACGCAGATTTCCTCACCATTTATCTAAGCATGACTCAACTAGCTTAATTAACAATACTCTTGACTGGTTTCAAGCTTTTCCAATTAATACCGAAGCAGAAAAACATACTCAATTTCCAACACCTCTTGGTACTCAAATTCTTGATTTTATCAAACCATTTCTTTTAAATTTCTATCCTGGTCGAATTATCCAACCTGAAGCTCCTAACCAACAAGCTACTAAAAGCAACTTTGACGATTTATTACAACGCATAGCTTCTCAACAACCACAATTCCTTACTGATTTTATTTACCAAAATATAATCAATGACAACAACACCAATATATCACCTAACTATCTTCTATTTATTTTAAGAGATATCTTATCCAACTTTACTACTGTCCTTTTTACTAAACTCAATTATAAAAAAATATTTCACTCAAATTACTTTTCACCTCCTTACTCTATTCCTAAACGCTCTCAAATTGCAATTAATCTTGCTCGCCTACACCTTTTTCTTCTAAACCAATACAAAACTATTAACTATACTAAATTCTTCGAAGATTTGGATCTTAAACCTATTCGTATGTTACTTCATTTTAATACTACATTTAACAATTCTGATCAACTACTTCTTAAAATCAAAAATGACGACAAATATAATATTTTTATTACTTTTGATATTTCTTCACAAAATTTTTTAAAAACCTTTTATATTCCTTCTTTTAAAACTTACTGCACAACATTTGACAAATGGTTCTTAAAATTTTTTAACTTATACAAACAACAATTCTTACACATTAACCAACAAAAAGTTTATAACTTTATTAAACACCAAATTATTACTTACCTTTCTAATAAACTTAAAAAACTTCTTCCAAACTCCTACCAATTTCCTATGGTCAACTCATTACAAGAAAGAATAAAAGCTTCAATTAAGGCATCACTACATTATATCTATACTTGTACAAGCAACACTTGCACTATTCTTCCTAACAATATCCCTCATACTTTTAAAAACTTAACTTCATTTTACTTCCATAACTCATTTAAAACCCATATCTATCCTTATTTAGATTTTGCTCTTTTCCAACCAAACCAACCTTTAACCGCTATCTTCTCTAAACCCTTCCCATTCAAGTCTCTTAAAAATTTAGCTAACTCAGCAGAAAAACAATTTATACAACTTAACGATACACCCACAAATTCTAAACGTGAATCCTTTTTTTACTACACTTATTTTAAATACTATTTAATAGCTGCTGCTAAAAATGACAACATTAACTCTAGTTTAAAAACTACTCTTCAAAATACTTTTATTAAAACAACTGATCCACACATCTTTGCTAAAATTATATCTTATTTTGATATTATACAATTTTCTAATTCGTCAATTTCTCAAATTAAATACAAATATCACCAATCCTATCTTCCACAAGCATTACAATATATCTCTAAAAAACTTCAAACTCCTAAAGTTTCTATCAATCTCTTCTTTCCTCAATGGAAAATACCAGATACTGCTCTTAAAGGTCTTTTTCGCCCAACTATTACAAACTCTTCATCGACTATATCTACTTAACATTTATTTTTTTCCTAACAATATACATTATTACAATTCATATAAACTTTTAACAATATACCTTTTTTACTATTACCAATTACTATCCAATTCTACTTTATTTACTATATTTTATACTACTTTACTTATATACAAAATTATAACTTCGATATCTTATTTATACTATATTTACCTTACATCTTTATGATTACTACAATATCTGATTTACTTCTTACAACTTTTTATACTCTACTACTCTATCAATAGTCACATATACTTATACAAATAACTAGCACGTATATTATTATATCCAAACAAATTACTCTTTATCTATACTTTATAGATTCTTATAAAGTACTTATACAATCTAGGTCAAAGCTCACCTAGATTTGTATAAGTACGTATAAATCTAGGTAAGTCTTAGACCACTCTAGTGAGTTTAGATCGCAGATAAATATGTCTGAGCTTCTATTCTTGCATGTAATTTTTGTTTTTATTTATACTTGTACAAATAGTAGTATTTCTTTAATGTAGTTATTATTTTTAAAATTACTAATAAAGATATGAGCAAGACCTTACCTTAATACCAAAAAAAAAAAAAAAAAGTATTTTAAAGCAAATAGAATATATAAAGAAAACAAAACAATTAAAAATTAAACCACAAAATATAAAAAAATATAGTAGAGTAGAAAGAAACAAAGAAGCAGACAAATTAGCAAAAGAAGAAGCAAAATCAAATAAAACTATTAAAGTATAATTACTATAAACTAAGCTAATATATATAATATCTAGATAAAAAGAGATAATAGTAACAGATCTATAAGAAACTTGATGAATCTGATTACAACTGCAGTACTAGATACAGGATAAGCAGAATTGTACAAAATAAAAAAGATAAGTAGAAGAAGAAATAAAGAATAGTTTAGATTAAAAAAAAATATAAAAATATATAGAAGAGATTAAAGATAACAAATATATAAATAGTAAAACTAATGATAAATAAATATTTAAAGTTAAATGCCTGAATGAAGTACTGTCAATAATAACCAAGTTGAAAACAAAAAAACCAAACTTGTACAAGACTAACAAATGCATTATTTGGCAAGAGAATTTAAAAATAACAGACTACTTAGCAAGCTGCAAAGAATACCAAAGCATATGAAATATAATAGAAGAAGAAACAAGTAATGAAGTAGAGAAAATTATAAAAAAAAAATGTTTACTAAAAAGATACCAAATAAAGCCAAAATAAAAAAAAAACATCTTTGACACAATTAGAGTAAAGCAAATAAAACAAAAATCTATATGATTAGAAGCCTGATCAAGAAAAAACAAAAACTAAAAATTAAAAATATACTTCAAGATAAAAAAGCAGCAAAGCAATAGGTGTAGTACTTAATAAATTCAGCAAAAGATTTTATCAGCACATATAGAATTTTAGATATGAGCTACAAATTAACTGGAAAAAAAAGAGTAATCTTAAAGAAAAACAAAAAAGCAAAAAAAATGCATCAAAGAAAAGAAAAAAAGAAAAAAAGAAAATTAAAAAAAAATAAGGGTGTGGCAACTTAGTGAAGTGGTGAAGTTGTCGCACTCCCAAGTGGCAAGAACAGAGTTCGAATCCCACCGGCGACGAAAATTCGAATTCTTAATACAGTGTTACAGCAACTATAAGTGTAAAGGTGGATCGACATCTGTAACTAGGTTACACCAGCTCGTGTAGAACAATAATGTAATTTACGAGTTACATGAAACCCAAGTGAAGCAGTCATGTAAATATAAGGTTGGCGCACATGGAAGCCTGCTTGGCAAGACCTGAGTAGAGAGGTAGCACAGATCTTCAATAGTACTACATAAAGGATTATTATTCGGAAACCGGAGAACTG